AAGAGAGAGCTGCAAGTGCAGCAAAGAGAGTTGAGAGTTAAGTATGAGAGGGTGTAATCCTCCTCCTCCACGTATTTGTTTTGTATTCTTTCTCTATCTCTAAATATATTGACTTCTCCCGTGGATGTAGGTGGTTTTGCCGAACCACGTTAAATATTATCTAAGTGTGCTTGGCTCTCCTATGAGCAAGTATCAGAACATCACCGGTCGAAATTCCCAACAATTGGTATCAGAGCGTTCGGTTTAAAGTGGTGTTTGATTTTGCTCAAAAATGAAAGTTGTCAAAATTGTATTTTGACCATACCACTATGTAGAGGAGGAAGAGACGAAGCCACTGGTGAAAACCGCGTCGAAATCGGACATCGAAAACTGTCGCACGCGCCGGCGGGGTGACTGTCCACGTCGGCAGTTCTGCACAGTCATCAGACACGTCACCTGACATATCAGCACTCTGACCAGTCAAAATGCCACATCATTAGGCACGTCAGCAGTTCTGCACAGTCATCAGGCACATCACCTGGCATATCAGCACTTTGACCAGTCAAACTGCCACGTTAGATTTGGTTGACATATATGTCCTACGTGGATGACACGTCATTATAGCCACGTCAGCTCCCTGGATTTTGATCCTGTGTGGCAGAGTCTACGTGCAACCGGTTCTGAGATTGAATCTGGGCCGTTTATCAGGCCAGAATAGTTTTGATCAAATCTTAGCCGTCTGAAGTGCGATTTGGATGATTTCAGACTTGTTTCCAGCTAATTTGATCATTCCGGATGCAATGGTATGGTCTGATCGTTGAGATTAAGATCATAAAAGGCAGTGATGAATTATTAAAGAGAGATTGCCCGATTAGGAGGCATCTGATGGTCATCATGGTGGTCGATGGAGCTGAAGAAGAAGAAATCACACATGTTTGCCCAATTACATATGTTGAACTATTATATGGGGAATTTTAATTGCCTTGAGGGAAGTTAAAATTGGAACACTCTGGACACTCGATCATTTGGACAATTTGAGGTGGAGAGTGAAATTTGATGAAGACCAATCTTGACGAATCTGAGCACTGGTAGTCTCGCCAGATATTGAGAAATCAGGTATAAAACCAGGATACCCCAGATCACTTGTAAAGGAAAGCCGCAACAAAGCTAGCAAATGGTTGTATATACGAAAAGATAGTACGATGGATAGATATGGCCTAAGAAGTTCTGGCTAGGAGATTGGGTTTTAAGCGGGACCATTGTGACCCCTCCAATCTTTCCTGGGAACTTGATTAGTGGAAGGATTATCCATACGGTACTATTTTCGTATATGTGACAGTTTGTTATGAAACTGTTGAAGACTAGCAGGATGACGGCATAAAGGAACAGTTGGGTTCCGTATGATCAAGGATTTAATGGAGTGGTGATTTCTCCAAGAAAGTTAGATTCGGTGACTATAATTTCTCGAGGGGAGAATTGATGAAGACCCTGATAATGGAAGAGAAATACAACAAAGGGATAAAGATTAGCACCCTATTTAAACTTGGATAGATGTTGTGACAGGATGAGCTGCTGTCAAACATAAGTAAGGAATAGGGAGAAATCTAGAGAACCAAAATTACACGAGAGCACATGAAGATTGTGTAGGAGTACCCGGAGGATCCAACGAGGTATTATAATGAGACAACAGGTGCAAGGAGAAGAAGAGTTCCCAAATGAAGCTCAGAGCAGAGACTATGAAAAAGTTGTACAACAAAAAGTCTCTTGTGCTCTTGATAAAGGCAACAAGCGAGGACCTTTCAATGCATGCAAGGATGGAAGGATGAGCTGTTGCAGATACACCTAATTGAGGGGGTGAAAATGCCTGTGATAAAAGGCGATCGCCTATGATGAAAGGCGAAGACACCAAACGGAGTTGGTGCGGGTGGAGCTGTTAAGCAGAAAAGGCGTAGAAGCTCCAAACATAGAAATTGAGGTGGAGGATTGCAAGGAGTATACCGCAACTTTCTCTTTCTATGTAATTAGTGGCAAAGAATTTATGGAGCCACTTTGAAGCATCTTAGCTGAAGGAGGATGCGACTGCCTACAAAAGGCGAAGACACCTTAAAGAGAAAGTGTGAGGGATATGGGATGAGCCCATGATCAGACCGCCGCATGACGACGAGTGGAGACACCTCAGAAGAAGGTGTGAGGGCCGTGGAAGGAGCCCAGTTCAGAACGCCCCAGAGCCAATGTGATGGCTAGGTATGAGTGGACAAATGGATAGCCAATAAAAGGGCTATGATGAGTATGGAGACAAATGCATGATTGACTTTCATGGATATTGCCCCCATGCTAAAGATCAATGAGCTAGAAGACATTTGCCTTGGACAATAAGTGGATGACTTGTGGAGCATTAAGACATGCCTTGGACAATAAGTTGACTCTTGTCAAGGTGGTGAGCTCGGTAATGGCATTGTAATACTCAGAGTATGAAGACAAATATGGATCAACCTTTTATGGGCTGCCCCCATGGTTAAAGGCGGAAAGCTACCTGGACTCTTGAGACTAAGAGCGAGAGACTCATGGAGAAGTAAGACGTGGTTCCTAGGGTGGAACAGAGGGCAGGCGCAACTCCTAGATGAGTAGACTCTTGGAAGAGTGGTGAACTTGTGATCATATTGAGATACTCAGATAATGACTATCACACTTGAAATATTCGTTTAAGGGGGTGTTGTAAGCCTTGATGTGAGGCTTGAGGAATCATTCCGGACTAAGCGTGGTTGATACGCTCGAAGGGGAATGTTGTTCCAGAGACAAGCGTAAATACTATTCAGATGTGATGTGGCAGACCATCTGGTTATAGTGATCCCTTTATGTGAGAAAAGGTGTGCTTAGGTCACTCTGATGATTGAAAGGTTTGGCAAGTACCTGTAAACTTGGCTACAAAAGCTCTCAAAATGGAAAGCTTGGAAGAGCGGCAAGATGCAAGCTTGTGTTGAAGAAGAATAAGGACAGTTGCCCCACATGAATGGCAAAGGGGGTGATTGTTAGGTTGGTTGCCATTAATGTGCAACAACCATTTGCTATTGCACCAACCATGTGCACTCATCCAAGATGTCAAAGGTTGGCAGCCACCATTGTTGAAGAAGAGTTGGAGTTGGCAGCCACCTTTGTTGAAGAAAAGCCTCCATGAATGCCTATAAATAGAGGCATATGCAAGAGAGCAAAATGAGTGAAGAGAATTATGAAAATGTGAAGAGAGTAGAGAGGAAGAGAGAGCTGCAATGGCAGCAGCCTTGCTGCCATTGCAGCAGCTGCAAGTGCAGCAAAGAGAGTTGAGAGTTGAGTATGAGAGGGTGTAATCCTCCTCCTCCATGTATTTGTTTTGTATTCTTTCTCTATCTCTAAATATATTGACTTCTCCCGTGGATGTAGGCGGTTTTGCCGAACCACGTTAAATATTGTGTTATCTCTAAATATATTGACTTCTTCCATGGATGTAGGCGATTTTGCCGAACCACGTTAAATATTATATAAGTATGCTTGGCTCTCCTATGAGCAAATATCAGAATATCACCGGTTGAAATTCCCAACAAAGGTGTGCTCTTCAATATTGCGGAGGAAATAATAAAGACATTAGGTTCCTAACTGCTCAGGAGGTTGCACTATGGTGGGGGATCAAAGATCAATTGTGCAAGCTCAATGCAACAGTTACCGGGATCAAGGCTGTGATTCAAGACGCTGAGGAGCAGGCACAAAAACAGAAACAAAACCATCAAATCGAAGACTGGCTCAAGAAGCTGCGAGAAGCTCTATATGATGCAGAGGATTTGCTGGACGATTTCTCAACACAAGTTCTGCGGAAACAGTTGATGTCTGGGAAAAGAGTATCGAGGGAGGTATGCCTTTTTTTCTCAAGATCAAACCAATTTGTGTATGGTTTACGGATGGGCCATAGAGTTAAAGCACTTAGAGAGAGACTAGATCGCATTGAAATTGACAGTCAAAAATTCAACTTTGATGTTTCAATTGTCAGGGAGCTAACTACCTCATCTGAACCTGAAATAACAGTTGGGAGAGAGAGTGACAAAGAGGCAGTTAAAATTTTTCTATTGAATTCCAACTATGAACATAATGTTTCTGTCATCTCCGTAGTTGGAATGGGAGGGTTGGGGAAGACCACACTAGCTCAACATGTTTACAATGACGAGCAAGTTCAGGCGCACTTTGGTGTGAGACTGTGGGTAAGTGTCTCAGGCGGCTTAGATGTTAGAAAGATTATCAAAGGGGCTGTAGGTACTGGAGATTCTGATGATCAGTTAGAGAGTCTGAAAAAAAAGCTTGAAAGGAAAACAGAAAAAAAAAAAGTATCTTCTCGTATTAGATGATGTGTGGGATGGTAAGGATGATGGTGAAAAATGGGATAGTTTGAAGGAGTTATTACCACGTGATGCAGTAGGAAGTAAGATAGTGGTAACTACACGTTCTCATGTAATTGCCAAATTCACAAGCACAATAGAACCACATGTTTTAGAAGGTCTGTCTGTAGATGAGTCATGGGATCTGTTTAGAAGAAAGGCTTTTGGTCCAGGTCGAGAGTCAAATTACATAGACGGAAGAATAAAAAAAAGAGATTGCAGAGAGGAGCCAGGGAGTTCCTTTGGTAATAAAGGCAATTGCGAGGTTAATGTCTTTGAAAGATAGAGCCCAGTGGTTGCCCTTTATCCAACAAGAACTTCCAAATAGGGTCCAAGATGATAACATCATAGATACCCTTAAGTTAAGCTACGATCCTCTTCCATCATATTTGAAGCATTGCTTTGCATACTGTAGCTTATTCCCGAAAGGTCACAAGATAGATGTAAAATATATGATTCGACTTTGGATTGCACAAGGGTTTGTTAGCTCTTCGAATTTGGGTGAGTGCTTAGAAATTGTTGGTCTTAGGTGCTTTGAGAGTTTGCTGTGGAGGTCCTTCTTTCACGAAGTGGAAAAGGATGGTTTAGATAACATAGAAAGTTGCAAAATGCATGATTTTATGCATGATCTTGCAACCCATGTCGCTGGTTTTCAGAGCATCAAAGTGGAGCGTGGACGAAATAGGATTCGTGAAATGACTCGGCACGTGTCATTTGACACAGAATTGGATTTGTCCCAACAAATTCCAATTCCTTTGCCTTGTGCAAAAAGTCTGAGAACCCTTATATTATTGCAAGGTGGCGAATGGGATGAGGGGCCATGGGTGTCAATTTGTCGAGACTTTAGGCATTTACGTGTGCTTGTTTTGAGTGATTTTGGAATGAAGGAAGTGTCACCTCTCATTGAAAAGATCAAGCACCTTAAATATCTTGATCTTTCAGATAATGAGATAGAGGCGCTTTCTAATTCTGTCACCAGTCTGGTAAATTTGCAAGTGCTCAAGCTCAATGGTTGTACGAAACTTAAGAAACTACCTAGGGATATTGGCAAGCTGATCAATCTGAGGCATCTTGATGTTGGTTGCTATCGTGATGGTGATTTATGTAAAAAGTTAGAGTATATGCCTCGTGGGATTGGAAAATTAACTAGTCTACAGACGTTGTCATGTTTTGTGATTGCCAAAAAAAGAGTCCTAAATCTGAGATGATAGGTGGATTGGATGAGTTGAGAATGTTAAATGAATTGAGAGGGAGGCTAGAAATAAGAGTCAAGGGATATGAGGGTGGTTCTTGTATATCAGAATTTGAAGGAGCCAGATTGATAGATAAAAAATATCTTCAGTCATTGACCGAAATGGTGGGACCCAGAGCTGGATAGTGATTCAGATATTGATTTATATTAAAATGTTGCCAAGCCTCCGGCCAAACTGGAGTCTTCAAGAGCTGAGAGTTGAAGGCTATGGAGGTATGAGGTTTCCAAGTTGGGTTTCAAATATCTCAAATCTTGCAAGGATTTGTCTGGAAAGCTGCAAAAGACTTAAGCATATCCCTCCCTTAGATGGAATCCTTTCTCTTGAAGAATTAAGTATTGTGGGATTGGATGATTTGGAGTACATAGATAGTGAGGGGGATAGAGGAAGAGGAGCGTCGACGTTTTTCCCATCCTTAAAGACACTTGTTATCTATGGTTGTTTTAGACTGAAGGGATGGTGGAAGAGATGGAGTAGAGATGAGATGAATGATGATAGTGATGAGTCAACAATAGAAGAAGGGTTGATAATGCTCTGTTTTCCATGTCTTTCTTCCTTGTTCATTTCTGAGTGTCCAAATCTGACTTCGATGCCGTTGTTTCCAACTCTCGATGAAGGTCTTTATTTGCGGAGGACTAGTTCAATGCCCCTACAGCAGACAATGAAGATGACATCACCAGTCTATTCTTCTTCTTCTTCTACATTTACCCGTCCTCTCTCCAAATTGAAGAGACTATATGTATTCAATTGATGATGGTTAGAGCATTTTCACCGTGAGGGTACTATTCTTAAATATAAAGGTTTTTAACAACTACCTTTCTTCATTTAATTTCTGTTGTTGTTGTTAATAATTTTACCTTTTTTTAATAAAACTATTATATTATTTCTATAAATATTGGTAACATTTTTTAATTAATTAAAGTTTCATTTGTTTTTTTGTTTAAATATTAATATTAAAAATAAATTTTTAAAAATAAAAAATATTAACTTAATATATTCTTAAATAAAAATTGTTTTTAAAAAATAAAGCTCTTACAAATGGGTTCAGCCCTCAACAAAACGACAGATTACCCCATCTCCCTTCCCTACCTGCACAAAGTAAAGCCTTCTCCAATCACCTAATCTATCGTTTTTTTAAAAAGAAAAAAATTGAAGGTTCTGCTTGTCTGAAACCAAAATTTCATGCTACTTTGGTTTCTGTTGAAACTAATGCAACTTCTGTTTAACCTTTTCTTGTCGGCCCCCTTTTGACATCTTTTTTGTGCAGGTATGGTGGTTGGACTGGGTTTGATAAATCCGAAAAGGTAATCAATGTTGGGATCGTCATAGAGGATGGAACAAGCTGGATCTGGAACAGTACTGAAGTTATCTCTTAATGCCTTTATGTTCTTGCTTTATGGAGTTTAGTCGATGAACATGTGTGTACAGAAACTAAATTTTATTCCTAAATAATAACACCTTGTCGCTGCATGCATTTGACAGTCTGGTTTTCTTTCCAATTTCTATTTTGCTTTATGGAATTTAGTCAATGAACATGTATGTACAAAATCTAAATTCTATGCCTAAATAATAAATCTTGATCCAATCCAGATTTGCAAATATTGGTTTTGGTTTGTGTTTAACACTCTTAAAAGGGCCATATGAGAATTTGCAAAGTGGAAATGGAGACAATATAAAGTATTTTTTTATGTCCTTTTCATTTCTCCTTCCAAGTTTGGTGCTGTTTTCAGGCCCTTAACATTTGTGTTTAACACTTTTAAAAGGGCCATATGAGAATTTTTCAAATGACAACCAGTTGTTTTCTCATTGAGGTATGTCATGCTTCCAAAAGTTGATATTTTCTTGAGGGATTTTTTATTCAATTTACAAGTCATTGTTGTCATGAATAAAAAATAAAATAATAAAAAAAAGTAGAAAAATAAAAATATAAAAAGTAGAAAAAATAAAAAAATATGTATGCATGAATAAAAATAATGTGAATTTATTAGTTTATTCACTGATGCCAGAATAGGAATAAAAATATCAGTTTAAATTTATATTATTTTATTTGTTGTATTTTATTTTATTTAGCTAGAAAAATAAAAAAAATATGTGCATGTATAAAAGTAAACTTATTTTTATTTATTTATTCACTGACGCCAGAGTCAGGAATAAAAAATACTGATTTCGATTTATTTTGTTTTATAGTTGTGTAATATTTACCAATGCCAAAGTTGAAAATATTCGTAGTTAAATATTTACTAGTACCAGAGTCAGGAATATTACATGCAAATCATCATAGTATAAACTGACAAAATGTTATTAATTTATAACAAAACCAACAATGCAGCCTGTCTCAATTAGGACGTTTAAGTGGTGATAGTATTTTTCATTTTCCATAACCAGTCTCGTACCATTAGAATCTCTATTGACCAGTTAAGGTTCCTAGTAATCATAATACTAGGTGGCGACACCTTAAACAAGACCATTCCCCATTAAAGAACAAAATGCTAGAAATCCGTTCTTTACAAAAATTATTTTTTTAAGGTCATCGCGGTATTGAGTGCGACAATGCATATCCAGTGTTTCCTTTTTGGTTGATTATGTGTGTTTTCTCTGGTTGAAGCTGCAAAGTAATACTTTGATTCATGCTCCGATCGTAGAATCATCAGTTCTCTCATGTGTGGTATGGATCAGGCAGACATAAGACATCCACATCAAATCATGTATTAGACTAAGTCGACTTACGTTATTTCAAATCTTTAATTTTCTAAACAAGTAAAGGCCTCACCTTTTAAAATAATATCTTTAAATAAAATTATCTTAATTCAAAAACGTCAGGTGAAATAATTTAATGTTCTGCTATCTGAACAAGCAAAGGCTTCTCTATTTTAAATAATCTATCCTTCTATCTACATGGTTGGAAAATCAAACAAATCAAGGGAGAATTGGAAAACATGACGTTTATGTTATTTTATTTTTTATACTCGTAGTGAAGAAATGGTACTGTAGTTTTTAAGAGGGCCAATAAGCATTCTGACATGATGAAATCTTGATTATACAATGGGGATGTAATGTATGTTCTTCTTGATGGGCACTAGATCATCATTCAAGAAAGGAAGCGCTTAGTTTTCTCTCTAAGGTATGGTTTTCATGAGCTTTGTATGTATATGAAGTTGTTCTTTTGCAGAGATTTCTTATTTAAGTTGGCAAGTTTTTGACTTGTTGTCAAACATTTGTGTGCAGGTTTCTCTTTTTAGAAACAGACACAGAGCATCTTCTGCTACTGTGGATTTGTTGTATTTTCCAGGGCAGGGACAAGCTTCAACGAGATTGCTTTTTTTTTTTTTACTGGTCATGCGCTTCCATTTTCAGAATTCCACAGTGCAGGTATTTTGAACTTAGGGGTGGTTAAGTATGTGCTACTGATAAGCATGTTTAAATTTATTGAACATAGATAAGTATAATAGTTTTCTACTTTTCCAAAGACCTTGTTGCTGCATTCATTTGACTTTCTGGTTTTCTTTCCAATTTCTATGAGCAATTTAGTGTCGAAGCATGTGAGTTTTATATGCATTAAGAGTATCCAATTACCCAAGTATTTTCTCTCTTTGAATTGAGTTTGATTTCATAATATGAAAATATGTTTGGTTACAATAGGCAAGTGATTTTCTGTTTTCACATGCTTCTGTCAAGTTGTCAGTGACCTTTCTAGCGGTGTCTATTTTTACTGAACTTTTAGAATTGAATCTTGGTTGCAGGAAACAGGTCAAAGGATATTGGATGCCGCCACAGATATTAGTTATATATTCACCGGGTGCAGTTCCAGTAACATTGAAGCAGTAAGCCGCGCTTCAAATTCAGAAGATGAAAAAACTGTTTGGAGAGTTACTGATTGATTCTCATTTGAGTCAACATTAAAAAATTTGAACTTTAAAAAAATAAAATAAAACTGTTTTAATAAAAATAATTAATTCGACAAACCATGATTTGACGTAATAACCTAATTAGCCATTCACTTTCTTCGATTAATTCCCGGACCGATAACTATGAACTCCCACCCCCCAAACGAAACCAGCTGGTGTCGTTTCGCCCGCGCGGGAAAAGGAAAACTAAAATCCACGATGGCGGGAATCCGTTATCTAATAAATTAAAAGTGACCCTCCTCTCCCTGTCTTCCATTCGCTAACAATTGACTCAGTCTTCCAAAACATTCACATTTCTAGGGTTTCAAAAGAACGAAAAAATGTTTTCAAGCAGCCAATTCGATGCCACCTCCTCCTTCTCCGGCGGCGGATTCATGCCTTCTCAATCCACTCAGCTCACCGATTCCACACCTTCTCCCGCTAAAGCAAGCCTTCTCTCTCTCTCTCTGTGTGTGTGTGTGCGCGCGTGTGTTTTGTTTTGTTTTGCTAATTTCTCTCCTTTTAATAATTGTTTCCCATTTTTCCATTCCGTAAACGAAAATTAAACCAAAAAGCAACTTATTTATCAGTGTTAGGTTTTTATAATTATATTTCCCGTGAAAGTGTGGGACAATTAAGTGAATCAATTGAGAAAGTGGAATGAAAAGATCCCTGTTTTTGTCGATCTTCGTGGTTTTGTAGTCGTAGTTGCTGTTTGGTTGCTGAGAAAGTATAGGAAAATTAAAGCACGCAACTGAGAAACTCTAGTATAATTTGAATTTGAGTGCTGGAAATGAAAAAAATTGTGTTTTTTTGTTAGCCTTAGGGTTATGGATTTTATGTTGGTTGTTTATTGGTGACAAAAATGGTGGGAAGAGAAATTAAGTAACTATTAATTATTGCCAAATGTCCAAGTTAGACTGTTTTTTTTTTCTTTTCATAATATTGTATAATTGTCAAAATTTTGTTCTGACAATTCCATTCCCTTTTCTTTTGTAAAAATTTCTTTGTTTGGCAATAGAGTCGCAATTCGTTGGGTGTGGTTCCAGTTACGGTGAAGCAGATAAGCCAAGCTTCTCAATCTGGTGATGAGAGGTCAAGTTTTGTGATCAACGGTGTGGATGTTACCAATGTAATCACTCTCAATTCCTGCTATATAAATATAGTTCTGTGGGTCTAAGCCTTAAATTTCTTTCTCCATTTGGTTTCTCTTTAACCATTTTCTTCCATTTCTTCACCTTGTTGGTGTAGGTTACGGTGGTTGGAATGGTGTTTAATAAAGCTGAAAAGTCGACTGATGTTAGTTTTGTCATAGATGATGGAACAGGCCGTATTGGTTGTAGAAGATGGTAATTATGTGCTTGCATGTGGAATTTATGTGTTCATACGTAATGAAATTGCTTGCCTTTAATCCTTTAAATTTCCATGCGTTGTTGTGTGCCAAAAACCAAATAATCAAACTAAAGTGTTGATTATAATTCAAAATTGGAGTTTTTCATTTGTTTTGAAGAGTAGTTTTGACGTGTGCTCAACACTTCTAATAGGGTGACCGAGAATTTTGAAAAATTGGAAATGGAGGCAGTACAGTAAGTTTCCGGTCTCTTATACATGTCTCTTGCCAAGCATCTAGCATGAGAAAAATCTGGTGTCATGTTTTTTCTGATGTGAGATCTTTTAACATTTGTTTTTTCCCATGCGAATCATTTTTCTATAGAGATGAAATGTATGTTCGAGTTATTGGACACTTGAGAGTTTTTCAAGATGTCAAGCAGTTGGTTGCTTTCTCTGTCAGGTATTGACCATACCCTTTAGTCATCATTGTACTTGTCTTTCTGAAACTGTGCATTTCATTCAATTTTCAATTTCCACTAATGATGACACTTGGAATTTGCATTGACAAAGCAACTTGGAGTTGACGAGGAGAGCTTTTTAGCCACATTTAACCACTTATTAAGAAATATTTTTCTTAAGAACCCTTCTTGTTGAGCGTGGCTTGGATGTGTTTCATAGTGGACATGATTGGTTTCTTGCATCAGTGTGCACGCTTTCATTATTTATAAATTCACTGCAATCGTATTGTTCTTTTTATTATTGCAGGACCGTGACAAACTTCGATGAGATTACTTTTCATTTTATAGATTGCATACATTCCCATTTGCAGAATTCCACATTGCAGGTATTGATCTTGGAGCGGATGAATTATGCACTATCAATAAAGTTTATGAAATGATTTGAGAGCATATTGTGTTTTCTGTTGGTTGGTTGTGTGAATTGTTTTCAACTGAATTTGCAGGGTGGAACTTCAACTCAGCCTCATATGGTAGAATCATCAATGAACACTTCTGTGCGGAATGGTCAGACATTCACATCAAACCTGGTATGGGACTGCCTCAAAAAAACTTTTTTCAATGTCCTGGTTTCCAAATGTGTTTGGCATAACATTCTAGTTTCCTTTTCCCAGATGTCCAAGCAATTTGATGTTGATGGGCTAAAGGATTGTGATCAATTGGTTCTTGATCGTCTGCAACAGTCTTCAAGCATGTGAGTTGAACATTTAAACTCTTGACTCCATGCAGCTTCTTTCTCCTTGAAATCTCATGTTGTCTGTGGTTGCCTTGCCCTTTCTTAGTGCCACCGTATTTGATTGCGTTTAATATATCAAGTTCTATATGGTTCTCATTCTCTTTTGTCCTCCAGCTGTAGACTGCTAATTTGGAATTGTTCCTTGTTTCATTGGAGTTCTATTTGTTTAAAACATCACCCTGCCCCATGTCATGGACAGATGCTCTTTTTCTGTTTTAATCTGTTGCTACTGAACTTGTTTTTAATTTTTTGAGCAGTCCATTCATTTTTTTCTTTTGGTTTCTATTTTTCAAAAACACATGCAGTGTGTACTGACTGCTATGGACAATTAATGTTTTGCAGCGTTGCTTGGAATAGCTAGCCATGTTTTGCAAACACTATTCTGACTGCTATTAAATTTTAATCTGCTAATACTGAACTTACGTTTAGTTCCTTTACGAATGTTGAGCGGGGTTCTTGGTTGCAGTGGACAGGAAAAAGGGATGCACATGGATGAACTTTGCCAACAGCTGAAACTTCCCATGGAGAAGATCAAGTAACCTCTCACTCTCTCTATCTCCCCTTCTCACCCTACATTATCAAGTAATTCCTTTTATCGACCTTTTCTTTTGTCTTGGCCAGGGAATCTATTAGATCACTTGAAGATGAAGGTTTGATATACTCTACAATTGACGAGTTTCACTACAAAGCAACCTGATGAAGTTCACAGTATTTTGGAATGCTACCCAGTCTACAATGCTGTTGCGAGTTATTTTGTCCCTTCTTTTGAATATTAACATGTTCGTTCTTTTGAATATTAACATAACAGCCTGTAGATATTTATTTGTTTCTATGTTAAAATCTTAAGTGCAGGGATCTGGACATGTTGTTATCGCTAAATCATATATAGAATTTCACAACATTTTGATGTTTTGTTTAGATTCCTAAATGACGTGCTGCTTGGAACTCTAAAAGAACAAAGATTATGGTCTGATTGATTTTTTAAAGCAAAGAAAGTTCTAGTTGAGTGCTGTCGAATCAAAGGATTGATTTGGAGTTTTTGATACCTGGAGTGTTTGGGACAGTTTGGAATTTATTTTACCTGAGGAAAGCGCATCGAAATCTCTTTTGATCGTATTGTTAGGGGGGGTCTGTATTCACTACTAGGCATTTTGCTTCTTTTGATTTGTTTCAGTGAACAGATAATGAAGCACCCTAAGCAGGCCGAAGCCCCCATGAAAAAGAGAAGCCATGATTTATAGCTTTGGTGGCCTATCCTTCAACTAAAGGCATTAGCGTACTAAACATCTTAATATTATCCTTAACATAATTGAAATCTTAAGTTAACAAGTTATTAATTATGGCTGATGGCTGGATATAATAGCAATGTACGTTTCGAAAGATTGTGGCTTCCCTATATCTTAACGTTTTGATTCCAATATTTGAACCTAGAAAATGATTAAACTTCATTAACCAACCCTTTAAAGCTTATATGCCATTAATATGTAGCTATTGAACTTGTTTCTAGCTACAGCTTTATGATTTCTGAGCAGTCCATGAAATGACGAGTAGCCCTGAACTCCAAATGAACAAATGAAGGTTCCTGTAATGATTGATTTTTTAAAGCAAAGAAAGGAACTCGTAGCCAATGAAGAGATTGATTTGGAGTTTTTGATACTTTGAGTGTTTTGGAATGGTTTGGAATTTCCTTTACCTATGAATAAAGCACCAAGAAGAATTCTTTACATTCACTACTACTAGCTAGGGGCATACCCTCCATTAAAGGCACTTGCTTCTTCTGATTGGTTTCAGTGACCGATACTGTAGGATCCCAAGTACGCATAAGCCCTTGAAAAAGGGAAGGCATCTTCCATTATTGCTTCCACATAACTGAAAATCTCCATTTAACAAGTTAATTTGGCCCTCATCTTTCCTTCATCAGTACTGTATATATAGCTATAACCCTGGATTGATGTCATTTTTTGAATAAAGTGTGAGGAGCAAGGTTTCTGGCCCGAGTGATTCATTAAAGCAAAGCAATAGAAGCAGTACTACCAGTTGAGTGATTTGGAGATCGAGAGATCAGTGCATGCAGGCCTTCTTATAGCTTTAGTCTTATCTTCACGTAAATGAAAGCATCAGCATCTCCTTGGGAAGTATTCGTTTTTTCATTACGTAAGGCATACCCATTACTAAAGACATTCGCATCGTAAATCTCATTTTGAAAGGTTAAACATAATTGAAATCTCATGTCAAAAAATAATTTGGCTTTGCTACTTGAAACATCCCTTGGATTTGTCTTTCCCTTTTTAGCAAGGCTAAGTCATACAAGTCTATTGGTGTGACATTTAAAATGAAGCAAGGAATAGAGATTGCTTTTTAAAAGCAAAGAAAAGAAATACCTGCCTGTTGAGTGCAGATTGGTTAAAGGATTTCGAGATCATGAGAGTACTTGCAGAATCTCTAATAGCTTTGAGTGTTTTGGAGATTTTCGAATCTTATTATCTCTATAAATGAAGCCCGGAAGCCTGTGGTTTTCCGCACGCTCTTCTCAGCAACATAAACATTCTTCTAGCATCCAAACCGATCATCACCGCTGAAACGAAGAAACACCTCAACCACCCCAGCCACACACCTTTTCTTTAAATTTTTTCCCTTTCTTTTTTTGTGTTTCCCTCCTCCATCCACTCCTTTTTGAACCTGCAAAGAAAAAATGGCTGAAGGTGTGCTTTTCAATACTGCGGAGGAAATAATAAAGACATTAGGTTCCCTAACTGCTCAGGAGGCTGCACTATGGTGGGGGCTCAAAGATCAATTGCGGAAACTCAATGACACAGTTACCAGGATTAAGGCTGTGATTGAAGACGCTGAGGAGCAGGCACAAAAACACAACCATCAAATCCAAGACTGGCTCATGAAGCTGCGGGAAGCTGTATATGATGCCGAGGATTTGCTGGACGATTTCTCAATACAAGTTGTGCGGAAACAGTTGATGCCTGGGAAAAGAGTATCGAGGGAGGTAAGCCTTTTTTTCTCAAGATCAAACCAATTTGTGTATGGTTTACGGATGGGTCATAGAGTTAAAACACTTAGAGAGAGACTAGATGGCATTGAAATTGACAGTAAAAAATTCAACTTTGATGTTCGTGATGAGGAGAGAGCTTCTTTGACCATGGTCAGGGACCAAACTACCTCATCTGAACCTGAAATAACAGTTGGGAGGGAGAGTGACAAAAAGACAGTTAAAACGTTTCTGATGAATTCCAACTATGAACATAATGTTTCTGTCATCTCCGTAGTTGGAATGGGAGGATTGGGGAAGACCACACTAGCTCAACATGTTTTCAATGATGAGCAAGTTAAGGCGCACTTTGGTGTGAGACTCTGGGTAAGTGTCTCAGGCAGCTTAGATGTTAGAAAGATTATCAAAGGGGCTGTAGGTACTGGAGATTCTGATGATCAGTTAGAGAGTCTGAAAAAAATGCTTGAAGGGAAAATAGAAAAAAAGAAGTATCTTCTTGTGTTAGATGATGTGTTGGATGGTAAGGATGATGGTGAAAAATGGGAGAGTTTGAAGGAGTTATTACCACGTGATGCAGTAGGAAGTAAGATTGTGGTAACTACACGTTCTCATGTGATTGCCAAATTAACAAGCACAATAGAACCACATGTTTTAAAAGGTCTGTCTGTAGATGATTCATGGGATCTGTTTAGAAGAAAGGCATTTCCTCAAGGCCAGGAGTCGGGTCATGTAGATGAGAGAATTAGAAAAGAGATTGTAGAGAGGTGTTGTGGAGTTCCTTTGGTCATAAAGGCAATTGCGAGGTTAATGTCTTTGAAAGATAGAGCCCAGTGGTTGCCCTTTATCCAACAAGAACTTCCAAATAGGGTCAAAGATGATAACATCATAGATACCCTTAAGTTAAGCTACGATCCTCTTCCATCATATTTGAAGCATTGCTTTGCATACTGTAGCTTATTCCCGAAAGGTCATGAGATAGATGTCAAATCATTGATTCGACTTTGGATTGCACAAGTGTTTGTTAGCTCTTCGAATTTGGGTGAGTGCTTAGAAATTGTTGGTCTTAGGTGCTTTGAGAGTTTACTATGGAGGTCCTTCTTTCACGAAGTGGAAAAGGATAGATTTGGGAACATAAAAAGTTGCAAAATGCATGATTTTATGCATGATCTTGCAACCCATGTTGCTGGTTTTCAGAGCATCAAAGTGGAGCGTGGAGGAAATAGGATTAGTGAAATGACTCGGCACGTGTCATTTGACACAGAATTGGATTTGTCCCAACAAATTCCAATTCCTTTGCTTTGTGCAAAAAGTCTAAGAACACTTATATTATTGCAAGGTGGCGAATGGGATGAGAGGCCATGGGTGTCAATTTGTCAAAACTTTAGGCGTTTACGTGTGCTTGTTTTGAGTCATTTGGGAATTGAGGAAGTGTCACCTCTCATTGAAAATATCAAGCATCTGAAATATCTTGATCTTTCAAATAATGAGATGGAGGCGCTTCCTAATTCTGTCACCAGTCTGGTAAATTTGCAAGTGCTCAAGCTCAATGGTTGTGATAACCTTGAGGAACTACCAAGAGATATTATTAAGCTGATCAATCTGAGGCATCTTGATGTTGGTTGCACTCTTGATGAAGATTTATGTGAATATTTAGAGTATATGCCTCGTGGGATTGGGAAATTAACTAGTCTACAGACATTGTCATGTTTTGTGGTTGCAAGAAATAGGAGTCCTGAATCTAAGATTATAGGTGGATTGGATGAGTTGAGAATATTAAATGAATTGAGAGGTGGCCTAGAAATAATAGTCAAAGGATACGAGGGGTCTTGTATATCAGAATTTGAAGGAGCTAAATTGATCGATAAAAAATATCTTCAGTCGTTGACCGTACGGTGGGACCCAGAGCTGGATAGTGATTCAGATATTGATTTGTATGATAAAATGTTGCAAAGCCTCCAGCCAAACTGGAGTCTTCAAGAGTTGAGAGTTGAAGGCTATGGAGGTATGAGGTTTCCAAGTTGGGTTTCAAATATCTCAAATCTTGCAAGGATTTGTCTGGAAAGCTGCAAAAGACTTAAGCATATCCCTCCCTTAGATGGAATCCTTTCTCTTGAAGAATTAAGTATTGTGGGATTGGATGATTTGGAGTACATAGATAGTGAGGGGGATAGAGGAAGAGGAGCGTCGACGTTTTTCCCATCCTTAAAGACACTTGTTATCTATGGTTGTTTTAGACTGAAGGGATGGTGGAAGAGATGGAGTAGAGATGAGATGAATGCTGATAGTGATGAGTCAACAATAAAAATGCTCTGTTTTCCACGTCTTTCTTCCTTGTGCGTTTCTGATTGTCCAAATCTGACTTCAATGCCGTTGTTTCCAACTCTCGATGAAGGTCTTGATTTGCGGAGTACTAGTTCAATGCCATTACAGCAGACAATGAAGATGAAATCACCAGTCTCTTCTTCTTCTTCTTCTTCATTTATCCGTCCTCTCTCCAAATTGAAGAATCTAGCTATGTGGTTCATTGATGATATGGAATCTCTTCCGGAAGTAGGGCTGCGAAATCTCTCTTCTCTTCAACAGCTATGGATTTCGGGATGCGGAAGATTGAAGTCTCTGCCACTGCCTGATCAGGGGATGCATTCTCTTCAGAAATTAGAAGTCTCTTCTTGCAGAGAATTGAAGTCGCTATCAGAATCTGAATCTCAAGGGATGATACCCTACCTTCCCTCTTTGCAATTGTTAAGAATCGATGACTGCAGTGAAGAGGTGAGCGTAAGAGCGAGAGGATGGGGAAAGGAGAGGGAGGAGGAGTGGCCTTCTAACATTAAACACATTCCAGATATTGTAATTGATGGCGACTACATTCAAAAGGAGGGTCGCTATTTAAAGGGTGAAGGATTGAGATGGTACTACTAAGGAGTATTTTCACCGAACATACATACAAACACTTACACACGAGTGTGTATGAAAGGTATTTAACCTCTCCTTTCCTTCCTTCCTTTATTTTCTTTTATTTTTATTATTCCATACTCCCTCTCTCTCTCTCTCTTTATTATTAGAGCATTTTCACCGTGAGGGGACTATTCTTAAATATAAAGGTTTTTAACAGCTTTCTTCATTTAATTTCTCTGATTATTATTATTATTATTAATCCCTGCTCTTTCTCTATATTTATTTATTTCGCTGCATGCATTTGACATTCTGGTTTTCTTTTCAATTTCTATTTTGCTTTATGGAATTTAGTCGATGAACATATGTGTACAGAAACTAAATTCTATGCATGCCTAAATAATAAATCTTGATTCTTCCTTCGTTTACTCTCTCTCTCTCTCTCTCTATTTATTTTGTATTAGACTAAGTCGACTTACATTATTTCAAATCTTTAATTTTCTAAACAAGTAAAGGCCTCACTTTTTAAAATAATATCTTTAAATGAAATTATCTTAATTCAAAAACGTCAAGTGAAATAATTTAATGTTCTGCTATCAAAACAAGCAAAGGCTTCTCTTTTTTAAATAATTTATCCTTCTATCTACATGGTTCGAAAATCAAACAAATCAAGGGAGAATTGGAAAACATGACATTTATGTTATTTTATTTTTTATACTGGAAGTAAAGAAATGGTACTGTAGTTTTCAAGAGGGCCAATGAGCATTCTGACATGGTGAAATCTAACTTGTTGATTATACAATGGGGATGGAATGTATGTTCCTCTTGATGGGCACTAGATCATCATTCAAGTTGTCGTATGGTTTTCATGAAGTTGTTCTTTTGCAGAGATTTCTTATTTAAGTTGGCAAGTTTTTGAGATATGGCTTGTTGTCAAACATTTATGTGCAGGTTTCTCTTATTAGAATCAGACACAGAGCATCTTTTGATACTGTGGATTTGTTGTATTTTCCAGAGCAGCGACAAGCTTCAACGAGATCGCTTTTTTTTTTTTTTTACAGGTCATGCGCTTTCATTTTCAGAATTCCAAAGTGTAGGTATTTTGATCTTAGGGGTGGTTAAGTATGTGCTACTGATAAGCACGTTTAAATTTATTGAACGTAGATAGATAAGTATAATAGTTTTCTACTTTTTCAAAGACCTTGTTGCTGCATGCATTTGACATTCTGGTTTTCTTTCCAATTTCTATAAGCAATTTAGCGTCGAAGCATGTGAGTTTTATATGCATTAAGAGTATCCAATTACCCAAGTATTTTCTCTCTTTGAAATGAGTTTGATTTCATAATATAAAAATATGTTAGAATTGTTAGAAAGAAAACGAAAGATAGATTGTGAGGTTATAAATGAAAGGAAAAAAAAGAAAGTAAAGGAAAAAGTAGGGGGTAAAGGGCTAAAGCTTATGGCGAGTGATGAAATTAATAAGTATGCATAAATCCTATTGTTTTTGGATGCTTTTATGTATGAAGAATTTCTTTAAAGGCTTGCCGGATTTTCAGAATATATATATGCATAACCTTAGTTTTCAATGGAAACTTCAAATGATGATTGCTAAATAAGAGTATGACCATTAAAGATTGAAGCATTATGTGTTTTTTAAAGTGAAAGATATGTTTTAGCCCAAATATTGTGTTGATATAATTGCACATGATATGTGAAAAGAAGAAAGCTTGCTTTACATGAAATAGTGGCCACCTATATGCTACATATGCTACCATTGAGTAGTATATGGATATGAGATATGGACATTCAATTGTCTTACATTTTTTCTTATGCAAATATTATGTCGATATGATGTTAGGCATACATGTTGAAAACTTATGAAGTTTCCCATGCTTATCTCTTTAATCATTCACTGGGTTATCTCATTAGTAGTTGATAAATTATTTTCATAGAATCAAGATGAGGTCGAAAGAGGGCTCAAGAGATAGGCTACCAACCGAAGAGTCTTTGGAGTCCTAGCTTGAAGTTTAACATAGTGATGCTATTGTATCTTTCATAGGTTAGCTTTTGAGTATGGGTCATTACACATGTAAACGTATCATGATTGGACTCTTTTAGCGTGTAATTGATCAATAGGATAGCTATGTGCAAAGATGTAAGATAGAAGTGAATGATCAAGACAAGACAACAAGATGTCATATAAGTTTGTTTAATGGACAGCAGGTTGACAAGACAACAAGATGTCATATAAGTTTGTTTAATGGACAGCAGGTTGTGTATGCTTATAAATACATGTCTGGTAGGTAAATTTAATTGATTAGGTAACAATAAGAAGCAATTAGAGAGGTTGGTTTACTTAACTAACTTAAAGCACAATTCTAAAGTGAATATAATCAAAGATACTAAGATGCATTACCAAAGTAATTCGGAGAGGGGTGTGACAGCTAGCGTCAGAAGTGAAAGAAGTAGAAGTTCAACTACACTTTGTGTAGCCTTCACCCATTAAAATGAATCAGATGGTACTATTCAGCATGAAAAAATAAAAACAGAAAGCACTTTTTTTAAAGTATACATGCATGCATATATGGTTAAATGCTTAAATGTTACAAGATGCGGATATTAATTCAAATTTCAATTCCAATGCAGCTTATAACCTAAATTGATAAGCACTGCAGAACCCTGAGTAAATATCCAAATGTGGCATACCATTCATGGAACCACAGTTTAGCAACACATCAACCATTGCTGTGAACGCAGTTCGATCAATAACTAAATTCCGATGCATTTTCATTTCAGAGACAATCTTCAGAACTGATAGGAGATCCTTGGCACCACCAAAGCCCTGCAGAGGAAAGGAAAGCAATAAAACAGCTAAAAGATCTATTTTTTAACTGCAATCTCCGACTCACACACAAGAAGATCAATAGGCCACTTCAGCAGTAAAATAAGCACGCCATTTTGTTAAATGGTTTTTGAACACTTTGGTAAATATTCTAAATTCTCAAATTCGAATTTCCACAAACGCCTCATCACAAAATAAAGTATATATGCACAATTCACTGACCTGAAGTAATGTTGTGTAAGTGACAACATCCGGATAAAGCTTGGCACGACTAAAGTTTTGTGCTTTGTCCTGAAAAAGATCAAGGGTTTAATAATTTAAGTCAACTAACGTAACTTCTTGAGCAACAACCTAATTTCTTGTATACAGAGGCTCTAAACTGACCTTTCAAATGCATGCTTGTGACCTTCATTTCGTCAAAGAATTGCATTGCAGCATCCAATTTCCCAGTCTTCACACATGCAGATATCAGAGTACTATAGGTGAGCCTGTCAGGGGTTAATCCTAACTCCAAAATTTCATCATGCACAGGCAAGGCATCTTGAGGACAGCCAGCACTTATATATCCCTGAAAGTTCAAAGAGAAAGATGTTTAAAATGATAACAAATACTAGATATTTGTTTCTCAATGGAATGCCATAAGACCCAAAAGTACAGATCAGTGCTCAACCTTCATTAATAAGTTATATACCAAGATGGAAGGATTGCAGCTTTCATGAAGCAAATAACCATAGCGGGCTAGAAGACCCTTAGCTCGGCGTATATCTCCTGCACTACAGCAGTGCAAATGCAGCAATATAAATAAGCTCATGATTTTCAAAATATCAATAAAAAAAAAACCCATGTTTGTAGTGAGACCACAATAAGTAAATAGATTTACTAATACAAGCAACGAAAAGGCAATTTGTCCAAGATATTTCAAATTTGGGCTCGATGTCCTATCATGAAATGGTAATCCTAATCGAACACAATCCAATCTATCCAGTTTTTCAAGAAAAGCTCTTAACAGTTTCAAGTGCTACCACTAAAGAACCTGGAAACAAAACAAAGCCCATAACTTCATCTCTTATTTTACAAACCTGCTGAAATTAGAGCATTTAAGAGACCAAATATCATCGGAGCCGACAACTTTGGACTTCCAACAGCTGTACCCATTTCCGCTGATTCCAATATCTGAAATGCTTCATCAATTCTTCTAGCCACACCCAAACCCTATCGAACAATAATTAGAGTAATAGTCAAACTAATATGAAATCAAAAACAAAAGTTACGAAAACAGAACACCCCATTTCAAATTCAAGTACCTTCAACAGAGTCCCATAAAAGACACCATCAACCGCAGAACTTCCTGACTTGCACATTTCATCAAACACCTTAAGAGCAGACTCGGTATCCCCGCAATGCACACAAGCTTCCATCACCGCATTCATAACTATCGTATTTAACTTCCCATACCTTCTCTTAGCACTCTCGACTTCCTCAAAAATCTGTTCCAATGGCCTTCTTCTAGTCAGCTGAACTTTTCGAAAGGTAAGGCGTTTAAGACTATGATGAGGCTTGTGAAACCTACGACGAGTGGGTGTAGAGGAATAAGAGAAGGTGATTTTGAAAGTGGGTAATGGGTTTGATGATGGGAACTTAGTAGAATAGAGGGAGAGAAGATGATTTTGCATGGAATTGCTGGTGATGGTAGTAGTGAAAAAACCCATTAATGATCAGCCATGGAAATGAAGGTGGAGCTTAGAGAGGGAGAGGAGAGGGAAAAACGGATAACGTATAATGTGTGGGCAAAGATGGAAATTGATGGCGGGTAAGTAAGTGGAGGACGCTAAAGTCAGAGAAAGTTTTGTGCTCCAGAAATCAAATTACGAACTTAAAACTTGTTGATACACTAAGTCAAATTTGGGGTTTTTTCTTTGTTGTAGAAACTAGTTTTGACTTGTTTTTAACATTAAGAGGGTGCATGAGCACTTTGACAGTGGAAACGTAGACAACAGAGAAAGTTATCTGTCCTCTTCATTTCCCCTGCTAATGCCAGGTGGTATGATTTCTTTAACATTTTAAATCTTCTGATTATACAATAGGGACAGATTGTATATTCTTCTTAATGGGCACTTGAAAGTCGTTCAAGACGTGAAGCAGTGAGTTTTATCAGCAAGGTATCTTAGGATGTCATAAGCTCCCTCCCTCCCTCCCTCTTTCTCTCTCTCTCTCTCTCTCTCTCTCTCTCTTATTGTGGAATTTAATTAAATTAAGTAAGTCCATGTAATCTATAGAAGACAAAAATAAATAGAATTCTTGGTATATTTAGAGATGAATTATTGACATAATTAATGGAGTTATTGATGTAATGAGTAAAATATAAGTCGAGATTAGTTGTTGTTATAATTTATAGCATAATTGGTGCCATAATTTATATAGTATTTGTTATATCACTCTTGTCTATAAATAAATAATGATTTTAAGTTTATTTTACACATCAAGATAGATAAAAGAAGAGGAGGGTGAAGAGAGAGTAATATCACAAAGTTATGAGGTATTTGTGAAAAATCAAGTGATGTGTTTTTTTTTAATAATGAAAAGACTTTTAGTTATTTTTTTATTATATAAAAGAAGTTGTAATTTTTACATTACTTAGTAAATTTTTTTTATACTTGTCCATGAATATAGTTTAATTGGATGAATTATGTATTTTATTTTATTATATTACTTGTTTTTTGTTTTTACATGCATGCAAATATCCTAATACACACACACATATATATATATATATATATATGAAGTTCCTTTTCATGGATTTCTTAGTTGGCAGATTTTCTGTGTCAGTCTAGCTATACCTGGCTTTCTTTACGAACCCCTCTACGCTTGATAACAAGAGGTGTAAACGTGAATGACTAGACTGCGGTGCAAGTAACTTTGAACTCGGAAATCAGTCACCTTAATCCATAGTGTCGCTCAGTTTATAAAAGCACCAGATCATGCTAGCATGCATATGGCGCCAGATACAATAGTCAGTACGGAAAACTGAAGGCAGAATCATATTACAAGAGGCTAACATTGTTTTCATGTCAAGTCTGAGATTATTTACTGCTCATCCTATTGTTACAACAGCTGATTTTGGAATCCTTAGTTTATAGAGTGTGCTTTGTCGTCCTAGTTCTATCCTCCGTCTGTCTAAATACTTTAATTTGATTTACTTTAACAAATATCATTCTTATATATTTTTAATTAGAAATACTCTACATTGTATCACGACACACCATCAAACGTAATGCTCTCGGTCCGATAATAATGAATAAATAAAAAAAATTATATAAATATATATGATTAAAAAATAAAGATGAATATATACAATAACGATAATGAGTTATGTGATTTGTGTTTTGCCGTATGTTAAATATTTTTATCTTTTATAAAACAAAATTAACAAAATTATATAAGCATGTTTTTTAACACATTTATGTAGTTTAAAAAATTTAAGTACAAAACAAAAAGTTTATGTATACTTGTAATTAAATAAATAAAAAATTATGCATATTAATAGATAAATAAAAATTCATTAATGATATCTAAAATTAAAACTTGAGAAATCAAGAGACATATATAGATCAAGATATTTAATCTCGCAAGACATAGCAAGACATAATATTTACCTGTTTATATTTGCTACATTTTGTTTATTAAAATATTTCTTTTTTAAAAAATGCTGAAAAAAGGTATCAATAAAAAAAATTAGAAGAAAACAAATAATAACCTAGGAGTTTGACTTAATTTATTAAACTTGCTATCCAGATTATGAACTCAACTGAGATAATTCTTTTGTCTTAAACTTATACTTAATCTACATTCGCACACATATAAAAAAATTAGGGCAAAAAAAAAGGCTAAGCATTCTGGTTTATGGCCTAGCACACCTGGGTCATTAAGAAAAGTCTTTAGTGCATGGGTGAGCATTCAAACTCAAGCTTGTGTATTCTGGGATTGATTTTATTTTTAAAAGGGAGGTTGTTTGCCCCTTTTTTATTGGAAAAATTATGCAAATGACATGTTACATGTCAAAGCCAACAACGAGTCACCTGCGAGTCTAAATTTTGGTCACTATTATAATAGTTGGAAAATAAAAGGAAAACTATTTTTATTCAAAATCTCTAATTTTTAAATCATTCAACCCAAAAACATCTCAATAACATCATTGAAATAATCATATCTATTCATCAACTCAAAATACCAAAAATCAAAATCAATCTGGATTAGATTCTTCTTATTTAAGATCTATTTTTCAAACAACATTAAAGCTTTAAAAAAACACCAGCAAACATTTCTTATTTCATAGAATCCATGGACAAAAAAAATAATCTATTTTGTGAAACAAAAAAAATATAAATAAACTCTTGTACAAAACTGTTTTTTTTTAATTTTAAAAAATTTAAATTATATAATTTATGTTATTTTTAAATTTTTAAGAACTAAATATATTTTTTAAAAAAATCTTCAACACTCCACCCATGTTTGAAACTTTTTCAGTTCTGTTTCTCTTCTATTCGGTATTTTTAATCAAAAGTTAAACATGGTTAGTGTGTGTATATATTCAAATCAATTTATATATTAATTACGATTAAATCTTTTCTCCAAAATTTTTTAAATAAGGTATATCTCTCATCGATTCTGAATACTGATTCCACGTTTCGAATCCATGAAATTAATAAAAGAAAAAACCTTATTATCAACTCGACATGTCAAGACTTTCATGGTGACTTTATAAACAGAAAAATGTCAAAGAGTTGCCGACATTTATACAAAGCTATGGTTTGTCAAGAGGCAATGGCTCCCCACATTTGCAGAGTTCATCAACCATATCTTCCTCTTCTATTTCCTGAGATTCTTTCTCCACTGGTGGAGGTACCTTCTCAACATGCTGAGGCACAAGTGCATCGCGCCTACTTCTCTGCCTTGCGGTTCTCAACCGCACAATTGGGACATCATCCTGATCATCATCTACTCTAATAGTATCAACTATTCATCTTTTCCTCAGCATTTCCTAAAATAAAAGTTAGAGCACTTAATTCATGCTAGAACAATAACATGATAATTATCACAAAATTGTAGGAAAGCATATCTATCATAAGAAAGAAGACATGCCTGATGAGAATTCAAAATTTCAAAACCAACAAACAAGACAATACCGATCCTAATGCTCCACTTATTATGACATTAATTATACTATTATTATTTTTTTTAACCTAAAGCTCTGATACCAAGTTTGTCATGACCCGAATCCCAGATCCATGACCGACACATAGGCAAGGTTCCCCTCCAAGGTTCCATACCTATGCGAACTCAAACATACACACAAACTTATCATAACTCAATCAAAGTTTGACGCAGCATTAATAACAAAATCAACTTCATAATATAATTGAATTGTCTTAATACAAGAGTTAATATAATTTCATAGTTTTGGAGCACTAATTAAACATAAAGGAAAATGTACGAATTACAACCAAAAGAGCAGGTTCTGAAGGTCCAACAAAAGTGACCTGCTATCAAGCTATAAGCCTGAAAATGATAAATAATGAGACTGTGAGTTCAACAACTCAGTGAGTAGATAACGTTCAATATACACACACGAGATAATAAAACAATGAGAAATATATATATACAAGTATGACTTTAGGGTCTTATAAAAAGGTTTCTCAAATAGGTCATAACAAGAATATCATATGGTAAAATCGTCAGAAAATTAAAATGCAATGAGCATGAGGCTCCATACTGTGGGATGATTAGTCCACATAGGTTGGTGACTCCCCCGACCAACTAGGGTTCAGATATGATGTGCACAAAGACTAACACTACCCTGTTAGCATGAGTATTCTGACTGACATACCATAGGGTCATAATCATAATCAAACAGACATATTAATATCTCAAGGCTCAACTCATGATATCAACAAATGAGGAGTTATCAATTCAGAAGTCAATTTAAAATACATACTGGTTCATATCAAGAATTTGGATTCAACAAATGATCATGCTTATCATAACAAGGATAATAGTCAACATATATATTATCAAGAAGCATGATCCAATTCATATTAATAAATCAAATATTTATAATATTTCTCATGCATATGGAAAATTATTCACTCACCTAACTCGAAGCAAACAAAAGTCAAAAGCAGACACCGGAGAAAATCCTACCGCCGTCCCGCCGGTAGAATATCAGGATTATCTGAATATAAAGGAAACATATTCAAGAATGACTCAAAAGAACATATATTCTATTTAATACACTTAACTAAGGGTCTATTCCATAACCCTATATGTTTTTAGACTAAACTAGTTATTTTCCTAAAAACCCAAAAATTAACGGTTTTTCAGAAATCTAATCCAAAATAAAACAAATAAAAAAATTGGTAATAATTCACTAAATAACCCTCAATTATTCATCAAACCCATCTGAAAAAGCTAATATTACAGCTAGGGACTAATTTGTAATTTATCATATTTTTAAGGGTCAAATTGTAATTTTATCCATTTGGAGGACCAAACTAACATTATCATAAATCCATGACTATACTGAAATTCTGACCATAATCAATCCTCATTTCTATCCAGATCATCTCATTATACTCCAGGGACCATTCTGGAATTTTATCAAATTTTTAGGGTTAAATGGTAATTTTTGTCAAATTGAAGGACCGAATTGAAAGTGTTAAAATTTTATAACTATACAGGAATTCTGCCCATAATTTATCTTTTATTCTGTTCAGAATCTCGGAATAGGCTCCAGGGACCAATATGCAAATTTTCCAAAGTTTGGGGACTAAACTGTAATTTTCCAAAATTGAGGGACCAAATTGAATTTTCATCATCTTCAACCTCAAACCCAGAATTTTCACAGATTACCTATTGTTCTTTCCTTATTTCTAACATAATTTTACCATTCAAACAAAATCATAACTCAAAATCATCATCTTTCAATTCAATCTCTCAAAATCCACCAAATAATCCATTACCCATAACAATCAACCCATAACATTCAATTAATTCATCAATCAAACCCAAAACAAATTTTCAAAACCCTAACATTTATCAAAACCAAAATTAAAGCTTAATCAACATATATTTATATATAATCTTACCTTTAAACTTATTTCCTTCAACTCCTTTCCATTTTTCTTCTAATTTCCCTCTTTTCTCTTCTTCTTCTTTCTCCCTTCTCTCTCTTATCGATTCTCTCTCAAATTTCAGATCACTTCTTTTGTTTTTTATTTTACTTTCTATTTATATTTATCAAATTTTGTTGAATTATTACATTACCCCTCATTCATTTATTCCCACACTTTAAGCCATCAAGAGTTTTATTGTATTTTTCTACTCATTTATTCAAAACATCACATTTCTGGCCCGAGTGATTCATTAAAGCAAAACAATAGAAGCAGTACTTACAGTTGAGGGATTTGGAGATCGAGAGAGTGCATGCAGGCCTTCTTTGTAATGTTTTGAAAAACAAAAAGGAATAGGAAAAGGCAACAAAGCCCTTAAAGGCTTAGAAGTGAGTAAAATGAATAAGGAGTATTGTGGTAATTGAATAATAGTTGATAAATATAAATAGGAAGAAAAATAAAACAAAAGAACAAAAGAGAGAGCTGTATTTTTGAGAGCAAACGTAAGAGAGGGAGAAGGAAGAAGAAGAAGAGAAAAGAGGGGAAGAGAAGGGAAAGGAAAGAGATTGAGAGGAAATAACTTTAAAGGTAAGATTTAGGTTGTTAAATGTATAAATGTGTTGTTTGAAATTTAAATTTATGTTTTGATAAATATTAGGGTTTTGAAAATTTATGTTTTGGGTTAATTGATGAATTAATTTGAATGTTATAAGGTTGATTGTTGTGGGTAATTGATTAATTAGTTGATTTTGAGAGATTGTTGGTAAAGATGATGATGTTGAGTTATGATTTGTGTAAATTGTGAATTTTGAGTTGGAAGTCTGGAAAGAACAGTAGGTAATCTGTGAACAATTCTGGGTTTGAGGTTGAAGATGATGAAAATTCAATTTGGTCCCTCAATTTGTGGAAATTACAGTTTAGTCCCTAAACTTTGGGAAAACTATAATCTGACCCCTAATGGTATTTTGAGATTCTGGACAGTGTTATTATGAGGTTAAGGATGATGAATCTCAGTTTGATAATTGATTTAGAATATTTTCAGTTTGGTCCTTAAATTTAAGAAATTACAGTTTAGTCCCTAAACTTTGGGAAAATTATAATTTGACCCCTAATAGTATTTTGAGATTCTGTACAGTGTTATTATGAGGTTAAGGATGATGAATCTCAGTTTGATAATTGATTTGGAATATTTTCTGTTTGGTCCCTAAATTTAAGAATTTACATTTTAGTCCCTAAACTTTGGGAAAATTATAATCTGACCCCTCATGGTATTTTGAGATTCTGGACAGTGTTATTATGAGGTTAAGGATGATAAATCTCAGTTTGATAATTGATTTGGAATATTTTTAGTTTGGTCCCTAAATTTTGGGAATTTGCATTTTAGTCCCTAAAATTTATAAAAATTACTTTTAGGTCCCTAGTTTGTTCTGGACAGAATGAAGGATGGTTTATGGGTGAAATTTCAGTATGGTTATATATTTACAGTTTGGTCCAGTTTTGGTAAAATTATATTTTGGTCCCTATTTGGATAATTATCGTTTTAGTCCCTAAACCTAGGAGAGTAAACCTAGTTTTATTTTATGCATTGATATATTTTTTTTGAGTTGTTTTTTAGTATATTTCATATATTGTTGTAGGTTCTCCTAACGATCCTCAATAGGATTTTCGGGTCTTTCGTCTGACGTTCCTTTAGTTCTATATTTTCCGGGGTGGTCGTGGAGTTGGCGGGCGTGGCCAGCGGGGCCGTGGAGTAGGCAGTAGAGGTTTTGCGCCAACAAGTCAGAGACAGACACGAGTTTTTGCCATTACTCAACAGGATGCCCAGGCATCCAATACTGTTGTCTTAGGTACTCTCTTAATATGTTCCTTCGAGGTTAGAGTTTTATTTGACACGGGGGCAACTCATTCTTTCATCTCATCATACTTTGCTTTAAGGTTTACTAAACAACCTATTTTGTTAGAGAGTCCTTTGTGTGTGGCTATCCTTCCAAGCTGTATTCATGGAAGCAGAAGCAGAATTAAGTGCAGCCTCCATGTACTTCGTAGAAGCAACAGTTGCAGCTTTCTCCATTAGATTTCCCATGTTTCTAGCACTCTCAGCAGTCTTTTCTAAACTTTCCAGTTCATTCCTTGCCATGCGTTCCATTTCCACTTCAAACCTCCTAAATTCATCTATGGCATCTTCCATGACTGTATCAAGATAATCCTCAGCTTGTTGCATAGCCACTTCAGCTTGTTTGACTTCCATTTCTTGTTCAAGTTCCATTGCTGCCCATGAGTTGTATGCTTCTGTCTCAAAGAGTTTCATAAGGTTATCAATGGAGGAGGGATCGAAGTTTTTGTCTTGGCAAGCTTGGTTGGAGAGCAAGGTGAATTGGGAGAGGAGAGCTTCCATGTTTTGTTACTGTAACGCCTGAAAATATGAAAAATGATGCAGATCTAGCTACCAAAATAGCAAACCTTCCTTTAAGGTACATTACCAAAAAGTTTGCCCTAGTGGGTGGGGAATCTTGGAATCCTTTGAGCCCCTAATGTTTATTTCTTAGTTTCAAGCAATCAATCCTGACCATCCATTAAGTTCCTTTAACTTTCATGGTTAGATTCTTAACGTTCAGAGATCCATTTCAAGTTTCGAAAGTAGAATGATCTTTTTCCTTTGTGCACGGGGTAGGGTTACAGCAATGGATGACTTTTCTTATCTCATAATCCTTGTGTAGTGGACATAGGGTCCCCCTGCCTGCTTCACATCGTCAAAGAATCATCAATTTTCTTGTCCTTTCTTGTACTCCATGGCAAAGCAAACTTTATATATATATATATATATATAAAACAACAACAACAACAACTTCATTAACTTGATTATTGAATTTGAAGGGTAACTTAGTAAGATATGAGAAATTTAGGAAGCAGAATTGGGATCGAATAATTTGTTGGGATGTGCCACAAATACTAGAAAATTGATATAAAAAAAATATTGCTCAATGTTAATCATGGTTATTAAACAGATTAGTTCCGTACTTTAATGATTCAAGATCTAGTTTAGACTGAATTTAATTTGAATTGCTTGGAAAACTAATATGATTAAACTGGTGACTCAACAAGTAAACTTAATTACTTTCTGCTTAATTATCTTGTGTGTGTAATTAAAGAGAAGAAACTGCATAGCTATCGGCACTTTGCATCAAAGATGACGGTGCTGGTGGAAGCAAAGGTGGCAGCCCAGTGAAAGGTGATGCCCCCGCTAGAGTTGGAAGCCCTGGAAATAATATTGAACGCAACGGTGGCAGTACTACTACTATTATACGCAATGGTGGAAGAGGCGTTGGAGGCATTGGTACCAGCATCGTTCCTGATGGAGAAGAATGTACCATTTCGAAATTATGTTCAAAGCGGTGGTGGAGAACAGAACTACCATTGGAAAAGAATCATTCTTCTTCGCTGGAGAATAAGCCAGCACTCGGGGGTTCCAAGGCGTGTGAGACCGAACTGGAAAGATAGGCGGTGGCGATGGAAGTGATGAATGCAGTGGATGTGGTGGTCGTCATGGTGGGATTCGAGGGAAAGGGTGATGATTATCAATGATGGGAAATACGAGCAGTGAAATATATTTAATTTCATAAAACATTTTTTTGTTTTGTGCTCTGGCCCATCTCAAACTTCTAGAAATATGACATTAGAGTAGTTTTTTAAGTTACAGCAACTGATGAAGTTAGATTAGATAATTTAGGTGCCTTGATGGTAATGTCAGTAGCAGCAACAGGTGGTGTTAGAGCTGGAAATATTTTAACATCACTGGATCCACATTGGCTCTTGTACTAATGGGAATTAAGTTACAATTTTATTATTTATCTAAGGTCATGATCATTAACCTTAACCCCAGTGTAGATGCTGATAAACGAACCTGTCATTGAAAAACAGGACACCCCTCCACCTGAATGCCAGGGGCGGTAGGACAAGTTGCCAAGGGACAATGATCACAAACCTCCAAGCCCCACCAGGTTGGTCCATTAATGTTCTTCAACTCTAATGTAAAAAAGAGGAGAATTGCTAAGAAAGCAACTCCAGCATCTAATCCTGCTGATAGGATGTAGTTCTGCCTAACCCACCATCCTCTATATCTGTTGTAGACAACCAAGTTGAAGAAAATGCCTACAGCATACCAGCACATGTAGTTCACAGCCTTGACTGCTGGCATACCTCCTGTGCCGCTTAAGATAATAGGCACATTAACGTACTTGATCCATGTCTTTTCGGGGAACTTGAGGGAGAGTATCCACACTGGCACTGGTGCAAGAAATCCAATGAGAAAGAAATAGTTCATCTTAGAGTACAAACCAAGACGTCCAAACATTCGCATCATCTCCCGGGCATGTCCATGGGCTTCCTACTGGCAGTTTTGATGGATGGCTGAGAGGAACGAGATTGCTTGTGACATGCTAGTGTAGCCATAGTTCTTGAAAGTAACATTTGCAAGGGGCTTCCCCGGATACATGTAACCGATTATTAGCTCAGTGAGAATGTTGATTCCCGGGACCTGCACAACCATTTTGACATTAATATAGGCTCAAGTAACACAAACAGGTTGGAAACTTAGTCTTCCAGGATCATACCTGGTTTGTAGTTGCTGCAAGAACACCAACTGGAAGGGTGAACATGAGAGTCAAGCCAATCGCCAGTAGGACACCCCAGTAAGGAAGTTGTAACTGTCCACCAAAGCCTTCACAAGTAAGCAAGGCTAATCCATTAACTACAATCAAGAGTGAATAAAACCACCATTGAGGGACAGCTTCATAATTTTTCTTCATTATTCTACTGTGGACATCAGCGTACTTGTCTTGATATGCTGTTTTTGATTGATGCCAAATTTCTCTGCAAACAGAAAGATAGGCTAATCAGACATAATAATAGGTTATCTGTTGATGGAATGCAGATTAGCATCATAAAAAAACTAAGAATCTGTTGATAAATACCTTCCATGGAAAAGTGCTACATGAGTTAAGGCAGCAGCCAATATAGCAAAGCTAATACCGTAGGTGTAAACGAAGAAGATACTTAGGTTGACTTTGCTGTAGCCATCATATCCTGGTTTACTTAATTCAAGGGTTGTCTCATTTAGAACTCTTGAAACATCGTAGGGTTGTCCATTAGCATCGAAAACATGTGAAGAGAAAATGGGAAAACGTTTGGCACCATATGAGTTGGTCCAGTAAGCTATGGGGATTACGATGTAGAGAATTATGATATAGCCAAATAAATTGTTGATAATAGCAAATCCTCGAGTGGCCAAGGGAGATCCTAGGAAACCAGCTATGGTAGACCGATCGATGGCGAAAGAGCCAACGCCTAGGCCATGAAGACCTGAGCCAACTTGTTGGGCAGTGACTGAATCCTTCCATATCCAACAGGCAATGGAAAGAGCAGTCATAGATTGGAAGAGATAGCCGGGGACTATATAGTATGCGAAGCTTGATACAAGGACCACGAGGAAGAACTGCAGCCTCGTTAGGCCTCCCTTACGCCTGATCTCAACTTCATGCAATGCCCTGGAGGATTCGAAAGAAAAACGAATTAGAGAAGAGAAAAGAGGAGATCCTAATCATAAACTGATAGAAAATGGGGTTGCTGGAGACACCTGAAGAGGGAAACTTGAACCAGAATGGAAGGCCACCACATGTAAGGGGAATCAACAAGGAACTTCCTGAAAAGTCCAGCCCATCCATATCCTAACAACTGAATGTTTCAACAAAATTGGAAGTAAGCATGTTTTATTAAGCATATTGAAGAAAGAGCAAAGCATTAATCAATACTCCCCAAGTCATCACCTGCATTTTATTTTCACCTCAAGAAAAAAATTGCTGTGGAGTTTAGGAGAGGTTCATCTGAGTCGTCTGCGTTAACAACATAGCTGGTACTGCATCTATATGACCATGATAAAATGCCTTCACGATGGTGATAATAGCCACCGCAGCTGCCGGACTTGATCCAGAATTTGCAAATATGGTGATCAGAACATGTTCTTTTAAGTTGAAAGGCCCTGGATTCATTGAAAATGACCATTTCGTTTTGGGAATACGAATACATTTGTTTGGTAAAACTGCTTCCATAAGCTTTCCTATTGGTATTGCAGCAATCTGAGCTGCAACTGATGATAAGTAGAGTACATTTTGACGATAACCAAAGAACTGATTCGCAAATGCCAGAAGAGCACAACATGTGATCCCCAAAACCCATGTCCGAAACGTCAAGCATGGTAATGTTGGATCATCTGTAACCGGAACTGTGAGCCTGACTTGCTCGATTGGTGAATCATTTACCTTTTCTGCAGAAAATTTTGTTTTCACAAACAAAAAAGAGTCGGCACTGGTTGATCAGCGACGATAGTTATTAGATAGTGAAATTATTAGATAGGCACGCATTGCTCAATTTTGTTAAAAAATTATTAACGATGCTCAACAACAATAGCCATGACCGTAATCTAACACGAGGAAAGTTCACATTTAGCAATGTATAATGTTAGAAAATAGTATAAATTATATTTTGTATCTCATTTAAGCTAGCTTTTGAGTTGAGCTTTTTTTTGGTATAGTATTAGAGTGATGTTGACTAAATTACCATGAGTTTGAAATCAACATCGATTCCAGGTAATAATGTGGACTGGTACAAGTTTTATGTCTATAAAACTTTTATTTTTTGACATGATGGTGATTGAAACCACGATTTGAAACTATGTAAGTGTACATATGCATCGACTTCTCGTGAACTTGTTCAATGCTTACACCTCATAGCTATACACAGATAAGAATGAGAGGTTCTTATGGTATGATGACTCTGATATCTTGACTGAGCAATGACATTTGTATACAGCTAAACTGAATTAATATGCATTGCAAGGACATAGAATCGCAGGCAAACTTATAATTAACATGCATAAGCTGTGAAAAGAAAGTGAGCAGACTGAATTATTTACCTGTCTCATCAAGCATCCTGACCTTGGTCGGAAGACAAATCCCATTACCATTGCTCTCTACATGCTCCATGCTTCAATGCTTGCACTACTTAAACTGGACTCTGATGAAAGTTCCAACAACAGAAGTTTCTATATACACGATTCCTTGGCTTCATATTTGTACTCATTCTTTGGTGTCATGATATCTCTTTGTTTCTGTTCTGAGACGCGAGGACAATCCAAGCAGAGAATGTTAAATCTGATTCTTGGAACCTCATATAGTTGGCAGCTAGCGGCAGTCAAGATTCCATTTCCTATTTACAAGGCATGGACAAATATTATCATGGGGCATAGCCACAACGTCAAGTGAAACTCTTTAACATAATTCCAAACAAGCTTTGTGTCCCCAAAAATTTACTAACAAGGGAAAAATCTCTTGGTATGCCAAGGAGCAGAAGCAAACAAGGCCTGTATGCTCTGCCACTTCTTATCCTACCCTACCCTACCCTGCCCCATCTTCTCCTCAACTAATTTAGCTTATGTGTAGAGACTGTAATGCAGTAATGCCATGGTGAAAAGCCCCATAAAAGAGGAGTGCGTGCTACTTGCTCGCCATGCAATTAACCTGCTAATTTCATTTGGCAGGTGACCCACCGTTGCTTAGGCCAGGACATTTTTTTCAACACTGGCATGGTCTTACCTTTTTGACATGGCACACATTGTTTGGTAAGAAGAAACCAGTTGCAGTTGAATTAACGTCTATTTTTGATGTCGAGAAAAGGAATCTAAGGATATCGAAGAAGCCAGCATGCAAAAACACACCTCAAGCAGTAGCAGTCAACGTAATAATCTACCATCACAGAGCATATATATAATGGACGGCAAAACTGCAAGTGTACAATCCATATAGAAACAATAATGATATTGTCCTAACAATTTATATACATGAAAGGTGGCAAGACAAATTGAGAGACAACAGAAATGAAGCTCCAACAAGTTTCTGTCACCACGGTTGAGAAAGGTAAATACATGGCTGGCCTATTAATGCCACCCATAAGTTGCTCCTACCCCTCGTTTCGAGTTGTGTCCGAGTCGAGGATACGAGAAAAGGTGATAAAGAAATGAATATAGGTTGCTTTCAAGTCCCATCGATCCACTGTTCGTTTGCATGCATTAAGCCTTACCCATCACAATTTTTTAAATGTATATTTTGAATATATATGTTCCATGACGGAATACAAAATCCCTTTAAAATTTGAAACATACATTTAATAAAACCAACCAAGGTTTTGATGCATCAATATTATCAAAATGTTTTTTTCTTTTATCAAATACCAAGTCAGGAATATGAGAGATTAAGACACTTGATCTTGTTGCATGTTGCAATCAAAGTTTTATTTATTTATTTACATGATGATATTTTTTTATAAATAATAATAATAATAATTTTTTTAAACAAAATAATTTGCTAGTATAAACTCTCATTTTCTTATTAAAATGTCACCTCTATACATTTTTTTTGTGCTATGTCATTTATTAATAAAAATCAAAAGCAATTACCACTTATATTAAAAAATATCTTGGATGTTTTAAAATAAGAATAAAAAAGATATTTTTGAGATTCATGTTTACCCAGCAGATTCAAGGTTCAATTTAAAATCCAATCCAAACTAATCTAGGCATTTAAATAAAAATTGCTAGAGCATTGTTTTCTCTTTTCTTCTTTTTATCATTACTTTTTTTTAAACACCAAGAAAATCAATTTTGAAATTAAAGTTTTGCTTCCAAAAAGGGTTGAAGAACAAATAAGTAGCTCCCTAATGACATACATTTAATAAAACCAACCAAGGTTTTTATACATCAATATTATTAAAATGTTGTTTTCTTTTACCAAATACCAAGTAATGAATATTAAAGATTAAGACACTTGATCTTGTTTTGTAGCCATCAAGGTGTTATTTGTTTATTTACATGATGATATTTTTTTTATAAATAAGAATAATAATAATTTAATTTTTTTAAAACAAAATAATTTGCTAGTATAAACCCTCCTTTTCTTATTAATATATGTCACCTCAATATTATTTTTTTGTTCTATGCCATTTATTTAATAAAAATTAAAAGCAATTACCACTTATATTAAAAAAAACCTTGGATGCTTTAAAATAACAATAAGAAAGATATTTGTAAAAAATTACTAGAGCATTATTTTTTCTCTAAAAACACTAAGGTTAGGATTTGATTATGGAAGGATTTAAGAAGAGTTTAGAGTTTTTATTTTTATTTGATGATTGAATGATTTAAGAGTTTTAATTGATGTTTTAAGGTGTTAGTTAGATTAAAACGAATTCATTGAATGTTTAGAACTTTGGATCTTGAAAAACAGATTTATTGTTTTCAGGTTTTGTAAATATAAAGAATTGACAGATCAGGATTTTGGCAATATAACAAAAAAGTACAAGGACCAGTTTTATTGTTTTTTAATTTTATATAATTGGGCTGGTTTTTTTTTTCTTATTTAATTTTGATCTCTTAACTTTTATATTGTAAAAACAATAAAATCAAATAAATTTTTGAAAAATCAATAACCAACCCAATGATATTTTGTCAAGTATGTGATATGTCTATAGAAAGTGATGAACAAATCACTAAGACTAGTTATAAGTAAACGTAATATTAAATAATATTAAAAGACTAATAGAAAAAGATTAAAAATATATATTAAAAAAATTGGAAGACGAAAAAATAAAAAAAGCATTGTACCTGCGAATCATGCTATTTGTGAAGACCTACAAGGAAATCAACAAATCTTCTAGGTTCTTTGTAATAAAGAATACATTTTTACATATTTGAGTTCATGACAGCAAATGTTTGTGAAAAAACTCGATATTATGGGGACCTAGCTACTAGTTCAGTCCACGAACCTTTGTCTCACACGCTTGATTTATTTATTTATTTCTTTCTTTCTTTTCTTTGCTCAACTTGCTAGAAATTCCAAGGTGCCCTGAGGTGAGGTGATGTGAAAAAAAAAAAAAAAAACTTAAAAAAAGAGTTGATTACTAGATAGCTATGTCAACTCGAGTTTGACCTTAACCTTAACCCCAGTAGAGATGCTGATAAAGGAACCTGTCATTGAAAAACAGGACATCCCTCCACCTGAATGCCAGGGGCTGTAGGACAAGTTGCCAAGGGACAATGATCAGAAACCTCCAAGCCCCAGCACGTTGGTCCATTAATGTTCTTCATCTGTAATGTAAAAAAGAGCAGAACGGCTGAGAAAGCAACTCCAGCATCTAATCCTGCTGATAGGATGTAGTTGTGCCTAACCCACCATCCTCTATATCTGTTGTAGACAACCGAGTTGAAGACAATGCCTACAGAAAGCTTGCACATTTAGTTCACAGCCTTGACTGCTGGCATACCTCCTGTGCCGCTTAAGATAATAGGCACGTTAATGTACTTGATCCATGTCTTCTCCGGGAATTTGAGAGAGAGTATCCACACTGGCACCGGCGCAAGAAGGCCAATGAGAAAGAAATAGTTCATCCTAGAGTACAAACCAAGGCGTCCAAACATTCGCATCGGTCCAACCACACCCCAAATGACAGAGGCATTGTAGAATACATCGACTCCGGGACATGTCCATTGGCTTCCTTCTGGCAGTTTTGATGGATCGCAGATGTTTTCCACCGAGGTAAGGAGCCACTAACCCGTGCCGAAGTAGACTGAAGATGAAATTAAAGTCCCTACTATCTGTTATTGACATAACATCAATGGTATTAATTCTAAAGTGGGCTTCCAGTATATTACATTAGGCTATGATTGCCTGATTTGATTTTAAATTGATACCTGGACAACAAACATGGACTTGGGGGGAATTTTCATATAATGTCCCAGCTTGAAGTCTGAGAGGAACGAGATTGCTTGTGACATGCTAGTGTAGCCATAGTTCTTGAAAGTAACATTTGCAAGGAGTCTCCCCGGATACATGTAACCGATTATTAGCTCGGTGATAACGTTGAGTTCTGGTTGCTGCACAACAATTTCGACATTAATAGGAGGACAATTAACACGAGCAGGTTAGAAACCTAGTCTGCCAAGATCATACCTGGTTTGTAGTTGCTGCAAGAACACCGACTGGAAGGGTGAACATGAGAGCCAAGCCAACTGCCAGTAGGACACCCCAGTAAGGAAGTTGCAACTGTTTACCAAAGCCTTCACAACTAAGCAAGGTTAGTGCAACTACTATGATCAAGAGGGAGTAAAACCACCATTGAGGGACAGCTTCGTAATTCTTCTTCATTATTCTAGTGTGGACATTAGCGTACTTGTCTTGATATGCTGCTTTTGTTTGATGCCAAATTTCTCTGCAAACAGAAGGACAAGGTAATCAGACAAATAATGATATGTTATGATATCTATTGACGGAATGAGATTAGCGTCATAAAAAACCTCAGAATCTGTTGATAAATACCTTCCATGGAAAAGTGCCACATGAGTTAATGCAGCAGCCAATATGGCAAAGTTAAGACCATAGTTGTAAACGAAGAAGATACTTAGGTTGACTTTGCTGTAGCCATCATATCCTGGTTGAGTGAATTTGAGGGTTGTCTCATTTAGAACTCTTGAAACATCGTAGGGTTGTCCATAAGCATCGAAAACATGTGAAGAGGAAATGGGAAAACTTTTGGCACCATATGAGTTGGTCCAGTAAGCTATGGGGATTACGATGTAGAGAATTATAATATAACCAAACAGTTTGTTGATAATAGCAAATCCTCGAGTGGCCAAGGGAGATCCTAGGAAACCAGCTACCGTTGACCAATCAATGGCGAAAGAGCTAACGCCCAGGCCATGAAGACCTGAACCAATTTGTTGGGCAGTGACCGAATCCTTCCATAACCAACAGATAGAGGAAAGAGCAGTTATAGATTGGAAGAGGTAGCCGGGGACTATATAGTATGCGAAGCTTGATACAAGGACCACGAGGAAGAACTGCAGCCTCGTTAGGCCTCCCTTACGCCTGATCTCAACTTCATGCAATGCCCTGGAGGATTCGAAAGAAAAACGAATTAGAGAAGAGAAAAGAGG